CGGACTTCGGACCCGCGCAAAGAGGAGGGACCGTGAATTAACGGTACCGCGGCGGACTTTGTACCCGTTATAACGGTGAAGTCCTGGACTTTGCACCCGTATAACGGTGAAGTCGGCGGACTTTGGACCAGCACAAAAGGGAAGGACCGTGAACTAACGGGACTGGTCCTGCACTTTGGACCCGATCACGCCATTTGTCCTGCACTTTGGACCCGATCACGCTACCAAGGAAGGGAAATTGCGGGACCAGGATGGCGTATAAAAGGAGAAAGCGCGCACATTTCGGGACAGTCACGCCAGTGAAACCCCAAGGAGAATACCAAGTGCCATTTAATCCGGAATCAAGATCGCCGAGTCGAGAAGCCCAACGACGGTCACGTCTACATAAGCTGGAACTGCCAAGCTGAGATCCCGAGGGTACAAGGTAAGTTGTAGGGTGCGTCTACGAGTCTCGAAAACGACGGTATTGGGGGAGTCCGAGTAAATGGATGTTGTGCGAAAGGTACCCAGCGTCGGTTCGCATGAGATATTGAGAACCTGCTGAGGGCCAGCTGACGAAGATCCAGTGGATGTTGTGCGAAAGGTACCCGGCGTCGGTTTCTCATGAGAGATTGAGGACCTGCTGAGGGCCAGCGACGAAAATCCGAGGGAGTTGTGCGAAAGGTGCCCGGATTCGGTCCACACGAGAGTGAGGACCTGCCGAGGCCCAGCCGACGAAATCCCGACCGACTTCAGGGTAGAGCGTGGAGTGTTGACTGCAGCAGCGCTGCTTAGCCCTCCAGTAAGGTTTTCTGCTCAATATCCGCCAAGTTGTGAGAGACTCGTAGCGAACCTAGTACGCGACCGGTGCCCGAAAGACTCGGCAAGGCAGAGGACGCACGACAGGCGTGCCGCCGCAGGAGTCGACGCGGGAGCCATTACCGGCGTCAACGAGGGAGATCGAGTCGTCAGACAGCAGAACCACGAATCAAACATCAAGCTGTAAATCTACACGCAATAAACCCAACACATATTCTAAATCTAACCTAACTCTGCGTTCTGCTTTGGTCTCGGGGTCACGCAACAATAAATTTGGTGGGACGAACACACAAACTCAACTGAGCTAGCCGCACGTTTACGTAGCGAGCGGAGACATAAAAAAGCAGTTCGTTACAAAATGGATAGCAGGAACTCCTGATCATAATGATTTCATAACTGTACAAAATAAAATGGACGACTTAATACAGAATAATAACAAACAATTCACAATAAATTCCCAATTATTTAATGAAGTAAAAAACCTAACTGAAAATTTAAAAAATGTAGTCTTCAATGAGGAAACAATTTTACGAAAACACCGTTTACGGTTGCTAATATTCGATTTGCAAAATTTATTAGACCATTATCTTGGCAAAAACAAAAATTTTTAATACGAAAATTCTGAATGAAAAAGAAATTAAGGAAATTTACAATCACGAAAAACAATCTGTAGTATTAACCAACTTAATAGATATATCAACTTATAAAATTTTATTTAATAACGATTTATTAGTAATCTATATAAAATACCTGTATAAAACAAGAGCTATTGCTCAACCCGATGGAAAATTATTGATAAACAATCAAGTTGCCTTTTGCAAAAATAAATATTACTTAATGACCAATTTTAAAGAAGAAATTTTCAACAACTACTTTTAATTAAGTTCTGAAACAAGTTGCTTTATAAAACTTTTAAATGGCGAAAGAGCCAACTGTTCTAAAATAAGAGAAATTAACAAAAAAAATAGACATCCTCCAAGATGGTGCGATTTTAGTTACAGGAACAAACATAGTAGACATAACAAAACTACAAGGTTCATATTTAATTTTGTTCAATGACTCAGTAACCATAAATAATATAACTTATGTAAACACCGAAAGAAAAATATTAAACTACATAGCACAGCATAAATTTATTAATTATGACATTGATGAATATATTGTTTCTAATAATTCAGAACTTACTCTTGATAATATAAATATTCTCAATCCATATTTCCAAATTAATAATACAAAAATTCCAATTTATTTTATATTATTAATTGTAATTATCGTATATTTAATTTTTTTACTTTTTATAAAATATAAAAATGTTATTTTTGTAATTATAAAACAACGGCCAGAACTAGAAGAAAAAACTAACCATGAAAATTTAGAAAACGAAAATTCAAAACAAGAAATTATTATGCAAGAAAATACAAATCAAGAAGAAATTGCAACAGTAAAAAATACAAACCAAGACCAATGTTTTTTTTCAAAACTAAGAGACCGATTAAAAGAAATTAATAATAAATCGGGGCGATCCATTTTAGAAGGGGGAGAGTTATCCAACCCATGAAACCAGGCTTCTTATGCCATTTATAAACAATTTCCAAAATTCAATCTCAGCGATTTTCGCACTCGCCTTTGCCATTGCTTATGCCTTTGGCTTTGAGGTCCACTCTTGGATCCCCAATTAATAAACAAATTCCAAAATTCAATCTCAGCGATCTTCGCATTCGCCTTTGCCATTGCCTGCCTTTGTCTTTGAGGTCCGCTCTTGGATCCCCAACCGAAATAAACAAATCAAACTTAAAGTAAACATCAGCTTCCGTTCAAAGCCCAATCAATTGCGCCTTCCTCATTCCAAGCCCCAAATAAACTGCATTGGTCAGCATAATTGAATTTCACAATGGGATGCGACACTTACATCATGAGCTTTTATTTTAAACAAAAAGAAACTTCTTGAAGTTCGAGAAAAGCTTTTGGCCGATGTTCTTTGGATCAGATTTAAGATTTGGCAGTTAGTCGTATTTTGACCCGAGCCGCGTTCAGTAACCGAATTAAAAAGTTAAGTTAAATCTTGTGTAAAAAATATATTCAAATAAAGGTTTATCACCAAGTATAAGTGAAAATAAAAAATTAATTTTTTTAAAAAAATTTTTGGGAATAAAATTAATTTACACACATTTTTTAAGATTTTTATTTCTCGAAAACTAGAAGAAAAAAGCACGCCACATAACTACGCAGGTAATCAGGAAGATTTTTTTATTTTTGAATTTTTTTCTATTTTTAAATATTATATTAACGGCGATTTTTAGAGCTGCATTGATACATATGCATATAATTAACTTTACCTCTTAGGTTTTTAAATACATATGTACTTCAAATATTTATCTAACGGTATGTTTTTATTTTGATTTTATTATACCGAAGAGTTTAAAGACATGCATATACAAAAAACCCAAAATTAATCTTGAAGAGCTCCCACAGAAAAAAGCTGAAAACAAAAAAAAACCAGAAAGAAAGCTACATAGCTTAGCAAAGGCTAAACAACATCGAGCTATGACGATTTTTCTATTGATTTTCTATAATTCGACGATTGTTCACATGACAGCTTGTTCGAGCATCTATTAAGAGTATTTCGTAGGAGACAAAGAGTGTGCTTAACGCAGTTTTCTACGCTCTCGAGACGTCCCAGCAGCACAAAAGACGAATGCCAAAATCCGACGAAGCACTCTTTGGCAAGCGGTGTTCGGTGCTGGTCGGCCTGTGTCTTTGATTTTTATACCTTGAAGAACCCTAAAATTTTGATATAACTTAACCTTCGCAATTAAATTAGTTTGTTTTGATATCTAGTGAAATTTGTTAAATAAACTTAATCTTGAAGTTACTTCGGTTGTACCTATTTTTCTCTTGTCAAATGAAAGTCCCCAGAGCGGTAGACGCTCAGCATTGACAACTTAGCATTTGTCACAACATTTTTGGTGGCCCATGAGGGGAACCATTTGATCATAACTTCGTGATTACATTTGAAATTAATTTTCAACAGTTATCTGCCCATAAATTGGCAAAAGTGGTTCTTTGTGTGTTCATAAAATTCTAAAAGTTCAGTGCCAGCACGCACCCAAAAAGAGTCAGCCAAATACCAAACCTAATTGGTACATAGACGCCGTTCTTAAGTTACCGGCGTCTCTTTCTATACTTTGTACTTTCGTCGCTGGACCGCTAGAAGCGCAGCGGCAGAGATTCGCTAAATATCGGCGTCTCGCTTTGAACATTTGCCTCGTTGGATGATCGGCCGAGTGCAACGACCACATACACCCACGTCACTTCGCTGGACAGCTGGAAGCGCAGCTGCAGTGATAAGCAAATCACCGCCTTGCTTTCGCCTTTGTCGCTCTACTCTGCCTGGCGGACAACAACAACAACAACAAACGTTAAACGCTAACGACTGCGAAACACAAGGTGTTCTTGCACAGAAAGGGTGAGTGTTTTGTTATTTGCATGCTTGTATGTTGGTCATAGATTGAGTGCAATTATTTTTGAGTCAAATGGAGAAAAACGAAAGTGAACTAGAAGTCTCATTGGAGAGAGCGGGTTATGAAGATCTCAGTGCTCTTCAATTTGATATTCTTACACGATTAACACAGCTGCATACGAATTTTAAAAAAGATAGTGCAGCTCGAAAAACCAAAGCTTATTTTCAACTCCGTCGCGATAAATTGGAAGAACTTTCTAGACAATTTAATAAAAATCACCAATTGATTGTTATTTCCAAATGTCCGCGTACGCATGCGTATTTTAAAAATGCAATTGAAGATAAGTTTGAGCAAAGTTATACCACGGTTTTTTGTGCTATTTTGGATGCCTACGATGCCCTGCTGACAACAACAAATACTGATACAACAGTTGGAGCTCCGAGCCATAATTCTACGGTGGTTTCTACAGCAGTGTCCTCAGTTCAGCTCCCTAAGTTACCGGTTCCCACTTTTTCTGGCAAACATACAGATTGGCCAGCATTTTTTGATGTATTTTCACAGCTTATAAACGAGAATACGGCACTTTCTAGCATTCAAAAATTCCATTTTCTTAAGCAAGCTTTGCCAGGTGATTGCGATCAGGATGTCCAGCAAATGGATTTGACGGAAGCAAACTATGCAGTGGCCTGGAATCTCATCGTTAGGAGGTATAATAACCCAAGGTTGTTATTCAAGCACCATATGAATGCCCTATACGACTTGCCTGTCATCGTCAAGGAATGTTCAACGGAATTCAAGCACCTACTCAACGTCACCAATGTGTGTATAAACGAATTCAAGCGTCTCAAAATCGCAATCTCAACTTGTGACCATTGGATAGTGCATCATCTCGCGATGAAACTCCCATCAACTTCTCTCCAAGCCTGGGAGCATCACCTGGGCAGCTCAGGAGAAATTCCAACCTTTTCGATGTTCGAAAATTTTCTAAACAATCGCCTTGTCAGCATCGAAATGATAGAAAGTCGCAAAGGGAACCCATTAGCAAAACCCACATCGGTACAAAATGCATCGCATAAATCGTCATACAAGCTTCCGAACAACTCTAACAACAATAACATACATAAACGTGGCAGCTACCATACCACGAGCGGTACCAATTCCGCAATGCGTTGCACTCATTGTAGTGGCAACCACATTTTAAGGCGTTGTCCAGAGTTCTTGTCTAAAGATTGTTTTGCTCGAAAACTGATAGCGGAAAACACCAAGGTTTGTCTGAATTGTTTAAGCCCTTCGCATAACTGGTCTCAGTGCAGTAGTACAAAGAATTGTTCTCAGTGTGGTCAACGGCACCACACTCTTTTACATTTTCCTAGTCAGCCTAATAATGCTAGATCTAATGTTCTACAGCATCAGTCAACGAGGGATTCATCCTCATCGGCAAGCTCAATTCAAGCCAACACAACTCAGCTCGTGAGTGCAATGGCCTCGTATAAGTCACCCACAGTGATTCTAGCGACGGTACTGGTTCGACTACACAACAACATCACTGGTCAGTCTATGATAGTACGCGCTTTAATTGATCACGGCTCCGAGGGAACTCTTGTTACGGAAAATGTCGTCCAAGACCTTGGACTAAGGCGATTCCCTGTTTCTGCTGAAATCACGGGAGTTGGCGAAAACTCAACAAATAAGTGCAAGCATCGCACGGGGTTTACATTAAGCTCATGTATACACCCTCAGTTCCAAATGTCAGTGGATACGGCGTTTGTGCTTCGCTCTTTAACATCGCCTCTGCCAAGGACGAATATTTACCTGCAAAACTGGTCGCATATCCAAGGACTCGAATTGGCAGATCCTACCTTTACGCGATCCGGTCGAATCGACTTGCTGATTGGCGTGGATGTCATACCTCAGCTCATGCTGTCTGAAGTTCGGAAGGGAGCTCAGGATCAACCAATAGCTCAGCGCACGCAACTGGGTTGGATTGTATTTGGTAAGACAAACCAAATATTTTCGCATGCCATATCCATTCGATGTCATCAGACAAATTTGGAGTCTTTGGTCAATATGTTTTTTGAACTAGAGATAATTCCCGAAACTCGACAGTTGACAGCAGAAGAACAATGGTGCGAGGATCATTTCAAACGCACGCATACACGTCAACCCAATGGGAAATATATGGTTCGGCTCCCATTCAAGACGCAGTTCGATTCCTCGCAAGTTCTTGGGAAATCTCGGCAAATAGCCCTTAATCGCTTCCATATGTTGGAGCGCAAGTTTCAAAAACAACCAGCGTTACATCAGCAATATTCAGCCGTCATCCAAGAGTATTTTGATCTCAACTAGATCATCGAAGCTGCAAGCACTGAGGAGCAACATCGGACTCACACGCCATTGGGGCAGGTCGGTTTTGCGGCATGCACTCTGCCTCATCACGCTGTACTAAAGGAGGAGAGTACCACCACCAAATTACGCGGGGTCTATGATGCGTCTTGCAAAACTTCCAATGGCCGTTCTCTCAACGATGTCCTTTGTACAGGTCCCGCGTTGCAGAATGATCTTGGGGGAGTCATACTAAACTGGCGCATGCATCGATATGTTTTTGCGGCAGATATCCAAAAATGTACCGATGCATAGACATGCACCCGGATGATGCCCAGTTTCAACGGATTTTTTAGCGAAACGAACAGGATCAAATTCAGGAATATTGTTTAACTACAGTGACCTTTGGAACTGCGTCGGCTCCATATACGGCCATCAGGATTATGCATCAACTAGCTCAGGATGAAAGTGTGAGATATCCATTGGCACAACATGTACTGCAAAAGGAAATATATGTGGACGACGTTCAAAGTGGTCATGACACCGTTGATGGAGCCATCAAAATTCGAGAGGATCTAATTGCTGCACTTCAATCCGCTGGCATGTGTCTCAGGAAATGGGCATCTAATCATCCTGACTTGCTGGTTAACATTGCGCAAGAACATATGTCGAATTCAACCATTTTAGAAGTCGACAATCATGATTCAATAAAAACACTTGGTTTGTATTGGCATCCTAAAAGAGATGTTTATGGCTTTCATATAAAATTCAAAATTAGTCAAGAATTTACTAAACGAGCATTACTTTCCACAGTGGCCCGGTTGTACGATCCATTAGGATTTATTGTGCCAGTTATCACAACTGCCAAAGCAATTCTGAAGGACGTCTGGAGTGTTCGTATTGAACGTACTGCTGGAGTTTCCTCGCCATTAGAGTGGGACGAAACACTTCCTCTAGATTTACGAGAACGCTGGAACGATTATATCACGAGATTACCAGATGTCGAGGCAATCCAAGTACCTCGGTGGTTAATGTTCAACGTAGCAGTCTAAAATCTCTTCAACTCCATGTATTTAGTGACGGATCGACCATTGCATATGCTGCGTGTGCGTATCTCAGAGTTCAATGGATGGATGATACTGTACATACTCATTTACTTACTGCACGTAGTCGCGTTACACCCACGAAGCCAATGACAATTCCGAGAGTGGAGCTTTCTGGTGCCCTGTTAGCCACCCAGCTGGCAAAGTGGTGCTGCCAACAGCTACATTTCCAAGACCAAGCAATGTCGCTTCATTTTTGGTCCGATGCAATGATCATACTGTACTGGATTAATGGAGATCCAATGCGCTTGAAGACTTTTGCTGCCAATCGAGTGGGACAAATTTTGCAATCAAGCGTACCGTCGCAGTGGCGACACGTGCCCACTGATACGAACCCCGCAGATTGCGCCACCCGTGGTCTTACCCCAACGCAGCTGGCAAATCACGATTTGTGGTGGTGTGGCCCACCATGGTTACAGCTACCGGATACGCAATGGCCAACTAATCGCTTGGATCCACCGGAGGATAACGTTGCCAGAGCTGAGCAGCGAGATCTTAAAAAATCAACACTCACTTGTACCACTTCGATTGATGAATCAATCATCACCTCATTTTCTTCCTATAACAGACTCATCTTTGTTGTGGCCTATATGCTACGCTTTGTACACAATTCCAAATCTGCATTGGCATTGCGTCGAACAGGGCCAATAAAGACACAGGAGTTTCAAGATGCCATGCTTCAAGTCGTTCGACTGGTGCAGCGGAAAGCGTTTCCATGTGAGATTTCTCGATTACAATCAAATAAATCCTTATCTGGCTCTAATAAACTTCATCAGTTATGTCCTTTTGTAGATCAGCAGAGTATCTTGCGGGTGCGAGGGAGATTAAAGAATGCTTTCCACATCTCTGCTAACCAACGCACTCCGATCATTTAGCCAAGTCACATCACTTCACTGAGCTTGTGATCCGAAATGCTCATCATAATACTCTACATGGAGGAATGGATCTCACACTAGCGACTATTCAACAGATTTTCTGGATTGTAAACGGAAAACAAGCAGTGAAACGAGTCCTACGTAAATGTGTTCCCTGTTTCAAACATCGTCCAAAACCAGCATCGCAGTTAATGGCAGATTTGCCATTTCATCGGGTAAACCCCCCAAAACGAGCATTTGAAGCTACTGGCGTGGACTACACTGGCGCTTTGGAAATTAAGGCATCTCGGTTTCGTGGACATCATACCTACAAAGCATATATCGCTGTTTTCGTTTGCTTAGCAACCAAAGCAATCCATTTGGAGGCCGTCACAGGATTGTCTACCCAGCATTTCCTATGGGCTTTGCAGCGTTTTATTGGACGCCGCGGATTTTGCAGGCATCTGTATAGCGACTGCGGCACAAATTTTATGGGTGCGGATAAATCGCTTCAATTGTGGAAGAAGGAATTTGTAAAAGAAATGACAACGACTGTGCTGCCTGAATTAACATCTCGCAACATTCAGTGGCATTTCAATCCTCCACACAGCCCTAATTTCGGAGGCTTGTGGGAAGCGAACGTGAAAGCAGTCAAGAGGCATCTGTTTCGTACTTTCCAGGGGGTCAAGATGACCTACGAGCAGTTGAACACAGTTCTTGTGCAAATAGAGGCATGTTTAAACTCTCGACCCTTGTGCCCGTTGACGTCCAATATTGAGGATCTCTCGGCTTTGACTCCGGCTCATTTTTTGATCGGTGATTCCATGATGTCTCTACCAAATCCCACCACAGCGGATAAATCTTTGGACTTGCAGTTTTTTGACGGCCAACGACTGGTAAGGCAGTTTTGGAAGCGTTGGAGCGTAGACTGGTTGTCACATTTACAAGCTCGCCCAAAATGGTGGCAAGTAAAACCCAATCTAATTGTAGATGATATAACATAGTCATCATAAAGGATGATCGATTCCCCCCGGCGGAATGGAAACTTGGGCGAATTATAGAACTGCATCCCGGAACAGACAACCTCGTACGTGTGGCTTCCGTTAAAACCTCGTCAGGAATATATAAGCGATCGCTTTCAAAACTTTGTCCTCTGCCTTTAGTTTGCAGCTCAGTAGCTAAAGGTCTCGATTCATCAAATTAACGACAATTATTTTGCACATCTTTGATCCAACACATGCATGCTCTAACAAACACTTGTCTTTTCACAGCGTTTAATTGGCAACAAGGGAAAGCACTGGAGTTTAATACTGGGATCAGTATTGGCGGGCGGCATGTTCGAGCATCTATTAAGAGTATTTCGTAGGAGACAAAGAGTGTGCTTAATGCAGTTTTCTACGCTCTCGAGACGTCCCAGCAGCACAAAAGACGAATGCCAAAATCCGACAAACCACTCTTTGGCAAGCGGTGTTCGGTGCTGGTCGGCCTGTGTCTTTGATTTTTATACCTTGAAGAACCTAAAATTTTGATATAACTTAACCTTCGTAATTAAATTAGTTTGTTTGTTTGTTTGTTTGTTTGTTTGTTTGTAGATATCAATCTAGTGAAATTTGTTAAATAAACTTAATCTTGAAGTTACTTCGGTTGTACCTATTTGTTCTCTTGTCGAATGAAAGTCCCCAGAGCGGTAGACGCTCAGCATTGACAATTTAGCATTTGTCACAACACAGCTATGTATGTACATACATATATAATATACACAGTTGTCCGATTGTCAATGTTCTAAAAATCATGTTCGTGGGATAAAAAACGACGTTGTTATCAGCTCGACGCGTCTTTCAAATGAAACACATACATACATACATACATAAGTGCAACACGCGGGCGCCGAATTGTAAGCACATAAGAGAAGCAAAAGTACAGTTTTGCAACTGCCACAGGGACAAAATTGGCTACTAAAACAAAGATTGTTTTTTCCCGAAAACTAGAAAAAAGCACTACAGAGACGGACAAACTGACGAAGCCCGCCAGGGGCGGACGAAGCGGGGGTGTCCGGGGGTCCGGACCCCCCCCAAAAAACCCAGACTTTTTCAAATTCCCTTTCAGCACTCGGACTTTCAACCATGTAAACTAAAAAAATTTTTGATCTTTATTATCTGCAATTTACATATATGGATCCGCGAGTAAATTGCATTTTAACAGATCACCAAAAATGGTTGGCAAAGCAAAATTTAAAAAAAATTGTTTTGTAAAGTAGTTTCCTGGCTGGGATATGACTCAGTCTGTCCAGGATCGCTTACAGAAAATTTATATCTGCGGGACTATCGGAAACTTTGATAGAGGGTGAGCCGACGGAGATGGAGGGGTCGGGCTCACAGTAGTGTGGGTTGCAAAAAGGCGGAAAATATGGGGAAAACAACTGAGGCTGGTCGCCGATAGCAGTTGCCAGGGTAACGGGTAGCGATGCGCTCACGGGCACACAGAGGCTGAGCGCCTGGCTGTGATCGCCGGAAGCGGCACACACGCGGGAGCAGCGGCAGGATGCCGGGCTGCGGTCACCGGGGTGCACGCAGGGACGAGGCGAGTGGCACGCAAGCGGGAGCAGAGGCTGGGCGCCTGGCTGCAGTCACCGGGTTCCACGTGGGCCTGGGAGAGGGGCGTGGCACGCAAGCGGGAGCAGAGGCTTGTCGCCTGGCTGCGGTCACCGGGTTCCACGTGGGGCAAGGAAAGGGGCGTGACACGCAAGCGGGATCAGAGGCTGTGCGCCTGGCTGCGATCACCGGGTTCCACGTGGGGAAGGGGGCGTGGCACGCAAGCGGGAGCAGAGGCTTGTCGCCTGGCTGCGGTCACCGGGTTCCACGTGGGGCAAGGAAAGGGGCGTGGCACGCAAGCGGGATCAGAGGCTGTGCGCCTGGCTGCGATCACCGGGTTCCACGTGGGGAAGGGGGCGTGGCACGCAAGCGGGAGCAGAGGCTTGTCGCCTGGCTGCGGTCACCGGGTTCCACGTGGGGCAGGGAAAGGGGCGTGGCACGCAAGCGGGAGCAGAGGCTGTGCGCCTGGCTGCGATCACCGGGTTCCGCGTGGGGGGAGGGGGCGTGGCACGCAAGCGGGAGCAGAGGCTGGACGCCTGGCTGCAGTCACCGTGTTCCAAGTGGGGGAAAGGAGTGGGCGGATGGGACCCTGAAATTTGGAAATGGCTGCCGGCTCTAACTACTGGGTACGGGAATTGAATATGCAAGCGAGGATTGGTTCAGTTTTATGTACACGTGTTTTATTTAAATGTGGTAAAAGAAATGGTCCCTGCCTATACCGCTCTCCTATTTCTTAGCACTACTCACTCAGACAGATTCTTGAGAGCTCGGGGCGGGGAGTCGACGTCCTGGACGCTGGAGCGGGGCCTCGTTCGATAGTGGTGGTTTCACTGACTTGTGTCATAAATGGCGGCGCGGGGCCTGCCACGTGGTGCGGTGCGCGGCGGGTATTCGCGGCGGGGTCGCGGTGTGCGAGGTGGGCGAGGTGTGCCGCTTCGAGGGCTTGGTACTTCCGAAGGGCCTGGCACGTGGTCCAGAGGTTTGCAACGCAGAGCCGTGTCGAAACGGGTGCCGAAATTGCGTGTATTCGCGACTGATCCTCGACGATGATTTTCTTTCTGCCGGCGTCCTCTGCCCTCTGCTCGCATGATCGGCGACATATCTTAGTGCGTCGTAATTATTTTGCATGCACTCCCTCTCGCTCGGCCGCCCCATGGTACAATTATATAAGGTAGTCCCGTCGGCTTTTCTTTCCCCCTATTGCGCACTACAATGAGTGCGAGTGAGAGGGTGTTTTCCCGTAAGTGCGAAAGAAACAGAAACAGAGTGTGTTCTTTAACCCTTATGCTGTGTTTGGGGGTTTAAATTGAATGTAATATGTAAACATTTGAATTTCTTTTTTATAATTTTATTTTGAGTAGCTTTGAGTTTGATATTAATCTTTGCTTTTGTTTTTGAACATTTAGTTTTTTGTTAAGTTTCTTAACTTTAAAATAAATTCGAATTTTAAAATAAAACTTTTTTATATCTAAGTTAATTTCTAAATGCTCAGCAGCCTTTAACAATTTGTCCCTGACATTATTTTTTATTTCAAATTCATCCTTAAATAGTTTTAAAAATATAATTTCTAACTTTTTAAGCTCGTTTAAAAATTGTTGGGATGGTTTTATAAGGCCGCCACGCGACACTTCGTTCTAATACGTAAATGTTGGTGATGAGATGTCGTTGTTAATTTTTAATTTTTTTAAGACGTAACCTGCTATATATTCTAGAGCATCCTCCGCCAATTCGTCTATGTCAATATCTACTTTGTCAATGTCCATGACCGCTTGGTCCATGTCAATATCTGCTTCAAGGTTGTCCAAGTTAAAATCATCAAGTTCGT